AGACTTCTCTAAAATCAATATTGGAGTTAAAGTAGTTCGTGTGGAATCCTTTACAACTCACTGAAAATTGACTTCGCTGAGAGTTGTAAAAATTAATGATGGAGAAAATATTCACACTGTAATTTGCGGAGATAATAAGTTTAATGTGAAAGATTATATGCTTTGAGCTCCTCCTGGGGCGATTTTACAAAAAAACTGAAAAATCAAATCACGAAAATTTTTAGATGTTAATTCTGTTGGAATGTTATGTTCCTATCTGGATTTAGGGTTAGTCAACAAAAAAAATAAAAAAGACGAACTAGATCAATGTTTGTCAATTTCTCCATCTCAAGCAGAATATAAAAAAGTACAATTAGGCTCTCCTCACCCATTGAAGTACTTTGGATTTGATGATTTTTATTTTAATATTGATATTTTGCCGGCAAATGATGATTTTAATAGCATTTATAACTTATCCAAATTTTTATCTAGATTATGACACTTAAAATTTAACGAAACTCCAAATGCAAATTTATCTAAATGGGAGATAAAAATAGATCTAAACACCAAAACAAAAAGCAATCTTTTTCAAGGGTTTATGCAACTCAAAAATACATCCAAATTTCAGATTCCGATTTGAATAAAATCTTTTTTTCAAGTTTTTTCAGTATTTTATGCAAACAATTTAAATTTAATTATCGAGTTATTTAATATTTTGTATGGTACAAAAATAAAAATTTATGAAATTGATAAAAAATTAGAAAATATTACATTAAACAAACAAAAATATTACCTTAATGGTAAATTAGCAAAAGAATTAACAACTCAAACTACTTACAAAAATGTTCTTTTGATATTTGACAATCAAAATCGAAACGATTTTCCGATTTCTAAAAATTATTTTTATGCCTTTAATCATTTCGCTTTTTTTTTACAAAACGAATTAAACTTTACTCACATTCAATCGATAATCAAAAATTTTGAAGATCGAAAACTTGTAAATTTAAAAACAGATTTAAATTTTTTGAATAAAATTATAGGCAAAAATTTCACTTTAACGGAAATAAAACAAATTTTGCAAACTCGAGATTTTGTAATAACTGAAAAGCTTTCCAGTTTAATTATTACAATTCCTAATGATTTAAAAATTCGCAATGAATATGAATTAGCTGAGGAAATTATTCGTTTTTATGGAATTAACAATTTAAAAGATCAACCTTATGTACCTATTTGACAAACTTCTCAAAAAAATATTCATTGAAAACTGACAAATAATCTTCGTTTATTTTTGTTGTCACGGAATTTAAACGAAATTAAAATACCTTTAATTGAGCCCAATCAAAATAAAGAAATGAGTTTTATTTATTTGATAAAAGATATGGGTAAATATGAAAATGTTTTTACAATCGAAAGGGTTTTTCTGAATAATAAAGAAAGAAATTTATTAGGAATTGTTTGAAATAAAACTCATTATCATAATTACTTATCCAAATACCAAATTGATTTAAATAGATTTTATTTAATTGCTTTTTTAAGAGGTATTTTGGATTTTTTTAAAGTGAATTTAACGATTTGAAGCAAAACAAATTTAGTTTCTAATTTATCTGAATTAAAAATAAATTCAAATTGAAATTTTGCCTTTGGAAAATATGATGAAATTTGATGCGAAAATAAATTTTTAGGAAAAATTGGAGTGATAAACACATACCAACAAGAAAAAAAAGTTTTGAGTTATTATATGGAAATTGATGTTGATTGATTATTTCAGTTAATTCAAAACAATCAGCATTTTAATTTTGTTAAGAGAGAAAATGTGCAAAAATTTTATCGCGATATTTCTTTAAAATACGAAAAAAATATCGATTCAGCGATTGCTTTAGAAGTTAATAAAGAATATTTTATTTTTAATAATTACGAACTCATTATCCAAAATCTCAAACAATTAGATTCCAAAATTCAAAAAATAGAAATTTTAGATATATATAAAGATCAAACAATAACTCTAAGAATTTGAAAACAACTGTGCACAAAAGATCCAATATTACAAAAAAACACCTTATTTAATAAGTTGGAGAAACAATTAAAAAAAATAAACAATGTTAAAATAATTTAATAAATATTCGCCATGGCAGTCCCCAAACATCGTACTTCAAAACAAAAAAAAAGATCCCGGCGTTCTCATTTAAATTTATCTAAACCTAATTTAATTTCTTGTCAAAATTGTGGAAATAAAAATTTTACACATCGAGTTTGTGCAAAATGTGGTTTTTACAAAGGAATTCAAGTAATATCGGTAAAAACTAAAAAATAAATGAAAATTCACCAACCTGTGTTACTTAATGAAGTAACAGAATGAATTTTGACGAATTCCGAAGGTTTTTATTTAGATTGTACGGTCGGCCACGGCGGACATTTCTTTGAAATATTAAAAAATATTTCTTCTCGTGGGTTTCTTTTAGGAATTGATCAAGATAAAAACGCACTCAACTATGTTCAAAAAAAATTAAATCAACAAAAAAATAGAAATTTTAAACTTGTGCTAAATAATTTTGTTAATTTAAAAAACATAACCAAAAACAATCAAATTCCCAAATTTGATGGAATTTTATATGATTTAGGATTTTCCTATGAACAAATTTATAGCACAAATCGTGGTTTTAGTTATGCTGTCAATGCCCCTTTAGATATGCGCATGAATATTAATCAATCATTAACGGCGAAAGAGATTGTAAACACTTACTCCTTATCGGAATTAAACAATTTATTTAAACATTACGGAGAAATAGAATTTTCCTATATTTTCGCCCAAAAAATTGTTGATGCAAGAAAAACATACCCAATTCACACGACTTTTGATTTAATAAAAATTATTCAATCTTGTTTAAATAAGCAAAAAAATAATAGAAAAGACTTCGTTCGTTTAATTTTTCAATCGTTAAGAATTGCCGTGAACAACGAGTTGGCAGTTTTAGAAAAATCTCTCGTTCAGGCAATAGATTTGTTAAAAATAAAAGGTCGAATTTTAGTAATTTCTTTTCATTCTTTAGAAGATAGAATCGTAAAAAAAGTGTTTAAGTCACAAAAAAATATTAAAATTCTAAATAATAAACCTATTTTAGCAACAACAAAAGAAAGACTTATTAATTTGTCGGCCCGAAGTGCTAAATTAAGAATTGCGGAAAAAACTGATGAAAAATAATTTGCAATTTTATAAACTTTATAAAATAGTTGATTTACAACCTAATTATGTATCTTTAATTATTTGTGTTTATCAAAGTTCCGAATTTTATATTTTGTTCAATCAAAGAAAATATATAACCAATGAGACTGATCAAATTAATCAAAAAACTCACAGTAAAATTTTAAAACAAATCATTCAAAATGCAGAAAAAGATTTAAAAATTAAAATTAAAGAAGTTAGTTTTAATTTACCGATAAAAGATATTAAAATCAGCAAAGGGTCTTATATTCATCAATTTGAAAAAAATATCGAAATCACTCCTGAAGTTATAAAAACGATAACTAATTTATTTATGCAACAATCAGACTATTCGAATGAATTTAAAAATATTCTATCTAAAATTACAACATATCATTTAATCGATACAAATGTACTCACAAAAACACCACCAATCGGTTCCTTTACCAGTTCAATTAAAGTAGAAGGGTATACATATAAAATTAGTTGAAAAATACTTTATCAGTACTTGCCAATTTTTCAAAAAGCGAGAGTTAAAATAAATCCTCTCATTCTTTTGCCGTATTCTATTTATGTAAGTTTGTTATTTTCTCAAAAATTGAAAGAATTAATTGTTGTACTCTGAAATAAAAATAAGTTTCAATGTTTTTATTTTAAAAATCAGATTTTATTGAAAATTTTTGATTTAAATGAAAATCTCAATTATTTTATTGAAAATTTAACAACTAAATATAACTTGTCTCAAATAGATATTGAAAATTATTTATTCAAGTATTTGGACATAAATCCCAAAAGAGATAAATTGTTTCAAGGATTTTTGGAATTACATAATAAAAAATTGTCCGATCAAAAAACACAAATGCGAATTTGAACCGAAAAATACATTACTTATATGGCGGAAACGATTACTAAACTTTTCACGACAAAAGTCAACCTAGAATCAAAAAATATAAGTTTTTTTGTTACCGGAGAAATATTAAATATTACTAATATTGATAAATTTTTCAAATCAAAACTCAAATTTTCTAATTGAAAGTTTGAAGAAAACTTATTTATTGGTTTGATTGACTTTCGGGACACTTTTTCTATTGGTAATGCATATTATCAATATCTAGAGAATAAGGTATTATATAATCAAAGTATTAAGTCAAAAGCGAATATTTAAATATGAACAAACAAAATTTTCATTCAATTAAAATTAAAGTTATTGGAGTTGGAGGGGCCGGGTGTAATGCCGTTGAGCATATGATAGATCAACAGATCGAAGGAGTTGAATTTGTAGCCGTAAATACAGATTCACAAGCTTTATTAGCCAGCACTGCCGATCTAAAAATAAACATTGGTGCCGACACTTTAAAAGGAATCGGAGCCGGAGGAGAACCGGACATCGGGGAAAAAGCCGCCAAAGAAAATGAAAAAGACATTCGAGAAATTTTGGAAAATACGGATTTATTATTTTTAGTTTGCGGTTTGGGAGGTGGTACAGGAACGGGTGCTACTCCGGTGATTGCTAAAATCGCTCAAGAATTAGAAATTCTCACGATTGCCACTGTCACTCGTCCGTTTAATTTTGAAGGTCGTTTTCGTGTAGCAAATGCCGATAAAGGTATTCAAAATTTGAAAAAATTAGTTGATTCCATGATTATTATTGCCAATGATAAATTGTTAGAAAATCATGGCAATTCTTCTTTGGAAAATTCATTTAATCACGCCGACGAAACCTTGCGTTTAGCAATTCAAACAGTGAGTGATTTGATTGTGCTTCCGGCAAGAATTAATTTGGATTTCGCGGACATTAAAAAAGTTTTTTCTCGTCGTAAAAATGCAATGTTTGGAATTGGAGTTGCGGAAGGAAAACATAAAGCTGTCGATGCTACAAGAGAAGCGGTTAATTGCAAATTACTTGAAGCATCAGTAAAAGGAGTGAAAAATGCAATTGTTAGTTATACTGGCGGCTCCGGAACCAGCTTGCTTGATGTTAATGATAGTATTGAATTTTTGAAAAAACAAGCGGGAGAGGAAGTAAATGTCATTTTCGGACTTCGTATTAATCGAGAAATGGGAGATAAAATGATGGTTGCCATCATAGGTACCGATTTTGATGAAGGGGAAATTCAATATGCGGACCCGGACACCATCTCTAAAATTAGAAAACAAAGAGACTTAGAGGAAAAGATAGGCAATAAAGACAATTCGATGAGTGAAGATGATTCCTTTAACAATAACAAAGCAACAGAAGGCGATAATTCTGATTTTCCCAATGAAGAAGATGATGATTTACCACCCTTTATGAAAGGTGAATAAATATGTTTTCTTTTTTATCTAAAATATTTACTTCAAATATCAACAAAAATATTAAAAATTTTCAATTGAATAAGGAAATTATTGAATCGACTCCCAAAATAACTTTGCATGCTTATGATGAAATTCCCTATTCTCTTAAAATTTTATTTAAGAAAAAGCGAATTATTGTTGATTTATCCGAATTAAAAAAAACCGATAAGCGTCGAGTTCTAGATTTTTTAAGTGGCATAATTTATAAAAAAGGCAAAGTAATAGCAATTTCAGATACTCAATATTTTTTTATGATTGCTTAATATTAAAAAAATGAGGCAGAAAAAACTCAATCTTTTTCGTTCCGATTTTTCAATACGGGCAAATTTAAAAGAAAAAGAAATACTTATTCAAAAATCTTGAGAAAAATTGAATATTGTGCAATTGGCCAATTCAAACAAAAAACGAAAGTTAATTTTTCATAGTGGTCCGCCTTATGCAAATGGAAATATTCATATCGGGCATGCTTTGAATAAAATTTTAAAAGATTTTGCTCTTCGATTTTACAATATGAATGGATATGCTACCGAATATTTACCAGGGTGAGATACTCACGGATTACCGATCTCCAATGCGGTTACGAAAGAAAATACTTTAAATAAAAAATTAAAACCTTTTGAGTTTAGAAAGGCTTGTTTAAAATATGCCGAAAAACAAACCGATATTCAAATTCAACAATTTAAAAGATTAGGATTGTTAATGGATTTTTCTCAAAAATATTTAACTTCAAATGTTGATTATGTTTATCATGAGCTTATGATATTTAAGGAATTGGTGAGAAAAAATTTAATTTATTATGACTTAAAACCGGTGCTTTGATCATGATCAAGTAAAACTGCTTTAGCGGACGCGGAAATCACCTATAAAAATAAAAAATGCGATTCTGTTTTTTTTGCTTGCCCAATTATAAATTCTAAGTCATCCGTTTGAGCAAACACATCTTTTTTAGTTTGAACAACATCGGTGTGAACGATTCCGGAAAATAAATTATTGGCGGTGAATGAAAAGGAAAAATATATTCAAATTCAATGAAAAAATAGAAATTTTATTTTGGCGGCTAAATGTTTAAAAGAATTACCCTTTTTTCAAAAAAATATTCAAATTATTCAATCTTTTTCGGGAAAAAAACTTTTAAATTTGCGTTATCAACATCCATATTTAAACCAAACTTCTTTCGTTATTCATTCGAAACATGTTACTATTACAAGCGGAACGGGAGTCGTTCATATTGCTCCCGCTCATGGTCCAGAGGATTATTTATTAGCTAAAAAATTTGAAATTAAATTTAATATTAATATCAATGAGCATGGTATTATTAAAAATTCTACCGATGATCCTGATTTGGTTGGTCTTTTTTATTTAAAAAGTGAAAAAATAATTCTATCAAAGTTGCAAAAAAATCAAAACTTGATTTTTTTAAAGTCGATTCATCATTCTTTTCCACACGACTGACGTACCGATATGCCGGTTTTTTATTTAGTTACTCCGCAATGATATTTAAGTTTAAAGACTGCGAAAAAAAATCTTGAACAAAAATTAAAAAAAATTACTTGAATTCCGCGGTGAGGATTACAAAAAATTATCATTAATTTAAAAAATCGAAATGAATGATGTCTATCCCGCCAAAGACATTGAGGCGTTCCCTTACCTTATTTTATTAATAATAAAAATCAACCTATTCTAGATACAGAATTAATACAATATGTTTCTATTTTAATTAAAAACAAAGGAGATCAAATTTGATGAACATGACCAATTGAAAAATTATTACCATCTTCATTAATTAAAAAATTTCAAATTGTTAAAAAAGGCACTGACACACTTGATGTTTGATTTGATTCTGGTTGTTCTCCGCAAATTTTATATAACAAAGTAAAAAATCAACAAAACATTGATTTAATTTGAGAAGGCAACGATCAATTTAGAGGTTGATTTAATTCACTACTTATTATTTTATTTAGTTTAGAGCAACAAGATGCATTCGTTATTAAAAAAGTTTTAACTCACGGTTTTGTTAATGATGAAAAAGGAGAAAAAATGTCTAAAAGTAAAGGAAATGTCATTTCTCCAATAAAAATATGTCAAACTTATGGGGCCGATGTCCTGCGTCTTTGAATTTTATCCACAGATTATTTTGCCGATACCAATTTGAGTGATAATTTAATAAAACAAACTGTCCAGGATTATTTAAAAACAAGAAACACAATTCGATTTTTAATTAACAATTTGATGGATTTTGATTTTTTACAAAATAAACCGAATGAATTAACTGATATTGATAAAATTATTCTATTTAAATTTAATAATTTGATTTTGGAATTAACGCAAAATTTTCATGAGCAAAATTTTCATGTAGGTTGAATTAAATTGTTTGAATTTATTAATCGAGATTTATCGGCGAATTATTTTAATTTGTCCAAAGAAATTTTGTATACACATGAGTTAAATTCACAAAGAAGGCGGCAAATTCAAACGATATTTTTTCTTCTTTTAAAAAATATTCTTTTGTTATTATCTCCTTTTCTTCCTCACACAACGGAAGAAGCCTTTAATTTTTTTCAATTACCCCAAAAAGCTTCCTCTATTCATTTAGAAAAATGGCCAAACGCAATTATTAGCTTTTCCAACGAATTAAAAGTGCATTTGTTATTTAAAATATATATCTTAAATCAACTCAAGAAAGTTTTAAATTATAAATTAGAATTTTTAATTAAGAAAAAAAGCATTAAAAGTTCTATTGAACTGAATCTTAAAGTTTTGGTATCAACAAAAAGATCTATATTTGCGACCGAAAAACAGTGAGTGAATCATGCGAAAAGTTATTATTGCAATTCAATCTTTTTGAAACAAACTAAAAACTTATTTCAAAAGTTTAATAACAACGAGAAGAAATTAAAAAATTTTTATAATGAAGAAGAATTAAAACATTTTTTTAAAGTGAAAAATGTTGTTTTAGAATTTACAAATAAATCAAATAATACAGTTTTAAAGATAGTTTAAATTTTTATGTACTATTTTTTTTGAAAATCCCAAAAATTAAAAAATAAAAAATTTTTAATATTTTTTATAGGTTTAGTTTTATTGTTTTTATTTCGTTTGTGAAAAATTTTTCTTTTATCCGGAAAAATAATTTTTGTAGATTATGAACTGAATAATGGATTTGCTTTTTTTCCCAATATTTTTTCTTTTGAAAACATTCTCATCATCATTCTGACTATTGTACTTTTGCTTATTTCTTTTATTTATTTTTATTTGTCATTGAATTTTTGAATTGTCATTTTATCTTTTTTATTTTTTGTTGCCTCTTTAAGTAATTTGATAGATCGTTTTGTATATGATGGACAAATAGTTGATTACATAAAAATTTCTTTATTCGAAAAAGATTTATTTTTTAATGTAGAAGATGTTTTGATTTTTTTCTCTGTTCTTGCCATTATCTTCTTCAAAATAAAAAAAATATTGAAAAGGAGATAGGTTAATGTTAAATCGTTTTTTTCAGGTTCAAAAAAATGAAACTAATTTGAGTTTATTTGAATTTTTAGTATTAAAAATAAAAAATATTGAAAAAATAGATTATTGTTTTAAAAATAAAATGGTTTATTTGAATAAAAAAATCGGAGAAAAAGATTCAGTTTTAAAGGAATATTGTCAGATTTGTCTATTCATAAGTGAAAGCGAAAAACAAGCTTATTTTCAAACGAATACTCCTCAAATTTTACATAGTGATGATAATTTTTTAGTCATTAACAAACCTCACGGTATGATTATTGAAAGCAATTCACGACATCAAAAAAATAATATTGTTTTCTTTTTACGTAAAGAGCTGAATTTTTCTCAATTTGAAATTGAGAAAAATGAACCCGTTATTCATCGTTTAGACAAACCCACCACTGGTTTATTTTTATTAGCTCGCAATTTAAAAGAAAAAGCATATTTTCAAAATTTAATGAAAAATAGACAAATAAAAAGAAAATATCTTGCGATAGTTAAAGGTCATTTTAAACAAAAAAATTTTTTAGTTGAAGCCCCCTTACTTAGTCCGGGAAAGTGAAAAAAAGCACAAGTTTCATTCGCGGGACGAACAGCAATTACTTATTTCCAAGTTCTAGCAACAAACAAGAAATTTACCCTGCTTGAATGCGAGTTAAAAACCGGCCGAACACATCAAATACGCCGTCACTTAAAATTTATTGGTTATCCCATTTATCAGGATTCTTTATACGGTACGGGTAAAACTGATTTTTTATTTTTACATTCTTATCACTTGTCTTTTAATTATAAAAACACTTATAATTTAAAATTTCGCTTATTTCCCCCCAATTATTTTTCACAAATGTTTAACATTAAAACATTATAATTAAAGAGTATAGATTATTTCTTTTTTATTATGAAGCCAACTTCTCAATCTATTAAAAATAATAAAAACAACAAAAGTTTTTTTCAAAATTTATCAACACCCGATTTTCAAAAAACTCCCTTCTTATTAGTTTTTTTATTTTTGATTTTTGTTTTTAATTTAGTTGTCTTTCTTTTACCTCGGCTTTTGGGTATCACAACGGAATTACCAACTTATTTGGTTTTATTTGCTAATCATGCCGGTTCGGTTTTGCACAACAATCAATATTGAAGGTTATTTACATTTTTCTTAGTTGAAAATATGTCGGGTATTTTTAATATTATTTTTGTTTTCATTTTTTTATGAATTGTTGTTGTAAGAAATTTGTACTTTCAAGAAATTATTTTAGGATCAAAAAAAACAGCCTTTATTGTTCTCACTGGAATTATTATAGTTGGTTTATTACAAGTATTTTTTACTGTACCAGATGAAATGATTTATCATGGAACTAGTTTTATAAGTTGAATTAGTTTGGGTTCTATTTTTTGCATTTTTTTGTTTAATGCATCCGGAAATGAACCCCTGAAATCTTTAAGTCGCCGATTATTTATTCGTGGGCTAATATTTTTGCTTATTTGAGAATATATTAAATATACAAATGCTCCTTCGCTTTCAAATACGAATAATAGTCTGGTTTGATTATCTACTTTAAATTTTATTTTTCCTGTTATTTCTTTTGTAATCGGATTTTTATTGTCTTTATTAGCTGATTTAAAAAATTGCACTAAATTGACACAAAATGCTTTACTAGTTTTTTCGGCAGTTTTTTGTCTATTTCTGCTTGGTTTTATTATCTTTACCTATATTATGGGATTTAAAGTTTCTACCGATTTGGCTGATAAAATTAGATGTACTTTGGAAACTACTTACTTGAAATGAAATATAAGTTGTTAATTAAATTTTTCAACGGTAATTCAATTTAATATAATTTTTTAATTTAGTTTCTCCTCATTTATTTACAAGCATTAAAATTTGATTTTTTACATCTGCACTCGCCCCCAAAAGCACCTTAAGATTTAATTTTTTTTCAATTTCTTGAATATTTTTTAAAAAATAATATCGGCTAATAATAGAAGCCGCACCAACACCAAAATATTTATCTTCGGCTTTTGTAATTAATTGAATTTTATTATTTACTTTTCATTCTCACTTTTTTTTATATTTTTCTCAGGTATCGGAATGTACAAATCCATCAATAATAATGTTCTGTCTTTTATCATTAGTTATTTCATTGATCGCTTCAATGTAATAAAAAGTTAATATTTCTTTTAAATTTTTACCATTTTTGTAATGTTTTGCCAGCATTAAAGGTGTAATGATTTTCGTAACATAATTATTTTTAAAATCTTTGAGTTTTTTTCCTATTTGATTTAAAATTTCTCAATTAGAAATTTTTTTTGAGTCTGTTAATCCATACTTTTTATTAAATTCTCAAATTTTTTTATCATAAAAAAAAAGAGTTATAACAATCGGTCCAAACAAATCCCCGACTCCGGATTCATCTCCTCCTCAATGTTCTTTTTCTTGTATTTTATTTTTATTTAAAATTCGATTTTCTAATAATTCAATAAAAGCCTCTTTTTCCTTATTCTTGCCCTGAATCAATAAAGTACCGTTTGAATAAATGTGTAATGTGAGATTTTTTAATTTAAATAAATCAAATTCATAGTTTAAATTCTTTTTTCTTTCGTAATTTGGAAACAAAGTTTTTATTTTTTTTATTTCAATTGAATCTAATTTAATTTTTTTCATTTAATTCTATTATTTTATTTTTATGTATTTTAGGATTAAAATATTAACTGATTATAATAAAATCTCTTATTAGCATGACACTTTGAATTTTACTTTCTTTTTTTTTAATTTTTTTGTTCTTTATTTTTTATGTCATATTCATCAATAGTGTATGATTTTATTTTTCTTTTTTTATAACTTTATTTACGATTGGAATATGTTTATTTCTTTTTGAAATTCCAGTTGTTTATAAAGAAATTATTTCATGAATGTGAAAATACAGTGATTGATTATATGCACATAATTCGAGAGTTAGCTCTTTTTTAATCATCGCTACTCAAAATTTAATTTTCATTAAAATGATTTTTGTCGCAATATCTTTTACAATTATGAACCTTTTCGCCTTAATTTTATATTTTCTTTTAATAAGAAGATATTTTATTACCGTAATTTCATATAATTTTTTAATTAATTATGGAATTAAAACTTTATTTTTTATTCCCTTTTTATTTTTTTTCCTGAGTTATGTATACTCGCCGTTTGTAAATTACATTAGTCAGGATAAAAGCTCCAATTTTTCAAATATTGTATCCAAAATTAATTCATCACCGATTTTTCAATTTGGAGGCAACGACAATCAATTTGTTGCCGATTTTGACTCAGAATTATTCGATGATCCGGAATACGAAATTTTTCAAACTTATAAAAACTGGGATATTCGCTTAATATCTAATTTCATAGAAAATTGAGAATCTGCAAATTCTCCCGAAAAAAAAATTAATTATTTAAAACAAATTCGAGCACTTGTTGATAAACTTTTTTCCCCTCTATATTATGCTAGTTTTGGTGAGTTACCTGCCACATCAGACAAAAATCTAGAAGAATTAATGGATGCCGCCGAGGAAATAGAGGAAATAGAATTAATTTCGGCTCCGTGAGAACGAATTAAAATTGATGTTTTGAATTGATTGAAGCAACTTATAACCAA